AAATATATACTATATATATATATATATATATATATATATATATATATACACACACACACACACACACACTTGTCTGCTTCTGTTTTTATCTTTCATACAAAAATTAAAATAGTATTTTTGTGCATTTTGCATAATAATAAAAAAATTACATTCAAAAAGAGGTTAACAGGTAATAAATGGATTATAACTACTGCATAATAATTATAATTTACCATAAATGCTGTCCCCTAAAATTTTGTTCATTCGTTTCATTAAAATAAAAAAATTATGAATTATCTTTAAATGTTTTACTAGCAGATAATATGTATTTTTGCAATCCAATCAGTATTTATTTGAGACAAAACTCAATTTAAACGGATAAATGAACACTAAACAATGAGGATCTTAATTAGTATGACAGAATTCAACTTGAACAGACAAATGCATTATGAATAATTAATAAACAGAAGATTGCAAAATGCTTTAGTAAAAATTATTTGTTTTTTTTTTACAGAAGAGCCAAATTAATGACCGTTTTTAACAGGTTAATTAACATTAGTGTGTTCAAGAGCAACACAACGTGATAAACCAGGATTTTGCCACACAACCTGACTTAAGTTAGTAGCGTCACTGCTTTTAGTTTAACTTTAGTGAGCGGCGAAATCTCTTTGCATTATTAAAATATGCTGAACTTCATGCAATGGCATGAATGGATATTAAAGCCTTGATACGAGGGGTTCCCATCCACTCCAGAATAATCCCAGCCCTAAACGAGCGCTAATCCCCCTCTCCAGAGCCCTTTCACCTCGCTCCCTCACTTCTGCGCTCTTTATCCTCGACTGAGGCCTTGTGTCGCTCGATCGGAACGGTCAACAAGGCCTGCTCTTCATGGCGGGTCATTGTCCACGTGAATGGACAGATCTGGGTGGTGACCGTCGCTGGGTTAAGAGTGCAAACAGTCTCACACACATCAAAGCTCAGCAAACATCTCTGTCTAAAGCACATCCTTCTGGCTTTCGAAAGAGCAACAGTCGCAGACTTTGATCACGCTATCGGAGCGTCTGTCCCGCCACGACACCCAACGAAACCACCCAAAAGGCCCAAGACATCTCTGACAAAGTGATGAGATCTGCTACAAGATTCATGTGCAGTTCATAAATTACATGAATTTTAGGATTTCGGGTTAAATGCGCACATAAAATGGGCTCTAAAATCACTAGAAACAAACTGAGTTTTAGTTTAACCCTCATCATGCATTCATAATCTGTAGGCTATTTTCGCATTCTGGGTCAGTCTGGACCCAAAGAGTCATTTTTAATATTATTATTAAGTCTTAACTTAACATTTTTCAACTAAAACCATGTTGTATCTGATCAGCACCTTCTCAAAAATGTGAAAAAATCAGCTGTTATTATATATATATATATATATAGAGACATTATATATGTTATTATTGCACTTACCCCTTTTAAAATTAAAAAATGAGAAAATATTTGACATTATAAATTACACATGAATCTCACCAAAAAACAAACGATACAAAATTAAAATAAATTTGATAAATTTCAGATGAAAAAAGCGATACATGTTTTTCACATTGCAATGGTTCGTCAATAGCGGACCATATTCATGTTCATCAAAAAAAATTCAGTCCAAAGAGATTATAGAAGAATATATGAGATATGAAGAAAAGGTTAAATTCATTTTACAAAAGTTTTGTGACATTAATGTAACTTCATAGATAATTTGATAAAAGTGTTTTTGGCACTAATGGTGCTCCATACATACTCGGGTCCAAAATGACCCGAAAACGAAACACTGGTTTGCAGTTCACTTAAATAGTACTGCAGTTTGACGAATTAATAAAAAAAGTTTAATTATATCAGATAATTTGCCTTCACAGTCCTGAGAGAAAACAGAGCCTTTACTAGCAGCTCACAACTAAACCACAACCAGAACTAACCCAGATCTCATCTGACGTTTGACTACGAGTGTAAAGCCCAATACACTAAAAGAGATTATGTGAACGTCATCTACATCTAACTCATGAAACAGACAATACAGTTGTATATTTAATTTTCTCTCTGCCATGCAAACAAAGCGACAATAAACCTG